GGTGCCGGCTGCATCTGCAGTCGTTAGCATCAACCAATCTGCACTGGGCCCGCGTGATGGGTCATGGCCAAATTTCCCTATTCCATCCATAAAGAAGGCCTGTGCCCCAGCAGTGGGAACATTAAATAGGCTGGTGATGAATGTACGAATGTATGTAACGAATTTTTGGCTGACCGCGTGGTGACTGTGACGTCAGAGAGCTCTAGCGCTCGGGCGCGAGCTTGCGTAGAGGCACAACTAGGGTTGGACCTCATCTGGCAGCACGGAATCGCCTTTTTCCGTCGCCCTTTCTCTTTCTGTCGCTTAGAACTGCCATTTGCTAGACCGAGACAGAAAGCATAATGCGGCGGAATCCTCGAGGCGATCGGCATCACGGACAAAATGCAATAGTCGGCAGGGAGACTCCGGAACGCTGAAGCGCGCGATAGCATGCTAACGCATCTTACGCATCATTATTATTTTGATTTCTTGCAAAATACACGCTAGAATTACTGCTCTCTCTTCCGTGGTCCTATCCATCTCGCGCTTGAAACTAAACTGATCATAAAAAAAACGCGGCAGTATGCCACCCATGCTGCAGCATGCTGACGCCATGCTGACGCGTGCGATCGCCTTTTTTGTCTGCGGAATGCGACAGCGCGCGTTCGCATGCGGCAGCATACTGCAGCACGTGGTAGCACAGGCGGAACAAATGCGATTCCGTGCTGCCAGATGAGGTCCAACCCCTAAAGTTCGACCGGAGTGAACCACGATCGAGCTCTGTGACGTCAGACGTTTCGGCCGCCGCGCCGCGCCGTTGAATATTGGCTACCATAAAATTAGTTGTAAAATCGCAACGAATGAACCGGTTTCGATGATTTAAAAGTATATTAATTAAAAAGCTTATTAGATCATTATATTGATTTTGAGTTGATTAGCTGACCTAGTAATGATCCTCATTAATGTCATACATTCATCTACACATATTTTCGATTTTACCGCCCGGTTATGCCGATTTATGTCGCTTATGCTACCCTTATATTTTTTGTTCAGATTCAGTTCAAATAGTCCATACCTATTATTTTGTTCAGGAAAAATATCATAAAATAATTATCATTTTGTCCCTGTGCCAGTGATGTCGACAAGCTAGGACATCATGGACTGTCATGCCAAAAAAGTGCAGGCCGCTTCTCGAGACATGCCGCACTTAACGATATCATATGCCGGTCCCTTGCCACCGTCAACGTAGCAAGAGACCGGACGGTATGAGTTTGATTCCATGGAAGATGGGCCGGGTACTGGTTTGGGATGCAACCTGTTCAGACACGCTGGCCCCTTCCCATCTACATGGAACCAACAACAGAGCTGGTGCGGCTTGTGAAGCGGCTGAAAAGGTTAGTCGACATCACTGGAGACCGAAGAGCTGGCAGCTACCTCGGACAACGAATTAGTCTAGCTATTCAAAGGGGGAACGCTGCCAGTATCTTCGGAACCTTGCCTAAAGGGACTCCTTTTAGTCATATATTTTATAGCACAGTGTGACCTAAACCCGCACTTTACGCACGCTTTTCCGTGACCTAAGTTGCCTATTTCTGCACGGTGTGTAAATGAATTGACCAACTTCACTCATGTAGAAAAAATAAAAGGAAATACATTTAAATGTCATTTGGAGCTTAAGAACTCACAGCAAACAAATGACAAATTAGCGATAGGTTAGGAATTTTCAGTGACAGCCAAAACAAGGAGAAACGGTTACCTATAATTCATTCCGCGAGAATTGTATCTTTTGGTCGAAAATGGCCAGTTCGGAATTCTTTCTTTTCAGAGTTTGACTTGCAGTTAGTTTAAGGTTCATTTTTCCTGTATATATTATTATCATTTATTTTCAAACGATGTCTATATTGCATATGTTATAAAAGAGTAGCCGTTAATATAAATAAATCACATTGCCAGTAAAACATAATAACTCCACATCCAGCGGTGAAAGTTTCTGACTTAAATAACAAAGTATTTTCGGTTTCCGTACCGCTGCCTATCCGCCCATCTGTCTGTCAACGCGTTGTATCTCATGAACTGTAATAAATGGAAAGTTCACAATCACTGAGTGTATTCTTATCCCTCTTTATATCCGAAGAGAACCTGTCAAATGCGAGTTGGACCCGACGAAGGGTTATGTACCAGAAACGGCAAAAATCACGTCTGTTGTATGGGATATGTATTTAGAAAGAGGGAAAGAGTAAGAAAGAAATAATTTTCATTTGTTGTATGGGATATGTATTTAGAAAAAGAAAGGAACAATAACATTGACAAATAGAAAAAAAACCTCAGAATAAGGTCCACTAGGTCCCTGCCTCAGGACAATGCCACAATGACACCAAGGCCACTGCGGCACTGATATTCTGGCAGAGCCTAATGTTCAAGATTCTAATAAAATTAGATTAGTGGCTGGAATAATAAATACTGTCACAAACGCACTCGAAACGGAACCGCGAAAGTGCTAGAGATCGAATGTGCCAGAGCACCGCGGGTCGCGATAGAGGTCGAGTAATGCGGCTCATTCTAAAATGAGCCTTATGCAGTGCGGCGTAAGGGAGAAAGTGCAACGACATCTGCACTTATTTACAAGTTTTGCGCGTTACCTGCGTAGGTATAAGTAGGTACTTCGTACTCGCGGGTGCTAGCTAACTCTCAATTTACAGGTACTTTCTAGAATGCGTCGATCGGCGTATATAAGCGCGATTGGCGCCGCGCAGAGACAGTTGTTTCAAGTTCTCCTCGTGTCGCCGTCGTGGTAGGTCGTGTGACTCCGTCCGTCGTTATAACCATAACTACCTTCCCACCTTTTTCTTTTTTTCATTCTCTGTCCTTGTCCCCCATTAATATTTCATTTCTACCCACCTTAACTTTTTCTTTCTACCCTACCGGTTTTTGTTGACATTTTCTTCAGAAATGCCACCAAAACCGCTTCCGCAACGGAAGCCACCGGACCCTAGACCACGTCCCGCCGCCCGCTCGGTGCAGACCGTGCCACCCCCCGCTCGCCAGCCCCTCAGAATTGAGGCGAGCACGCCGAAGCCGAGCGCAGCCCCGGCTAACATGGATGGTGCTGATGACCAGCGCCGCCCCTGCTTTGCCCCGGCCACCGCTCACCCCCGAGACCCACGTCGACGCCAACTTGATGACGATGAGGCCGCTGGAGGCGACGAGAAACGCCCTAAGCATGGCCCATCGCCACCACAGCGTGCTGCCGCGCCCGCTCCCAGTACCAGCGGGACGTATGTCCCGCCTCCACAGAGGCGACCAACCTCCAATTCATCCTATTCATCGACATCAGCAGACTCCGAGTCCGAGTCGGAATCGGAGCATGAATACGCCGGTGGGATGGAAGGGCCCAGCAGCCCTCTCCCACCCCAATTTGACAATACAGCCAGTACAATATATTGTCAAGTCCAACCGCTCGATGAGAGTGATGGCGCGCACGCGAGGTCTTACGCCCAGGCCGTAACGACCCGTGCGACGCCTCCTCTCTCTCCCCATACACCACCAGCCACCGCAAGACCCACCATAAGAGGGTACCCGCCGGTCGTAGTGGAGAGACTGCCGAACTGGCCGCTCCACTTTAAGAAGTTGAAAGACATCCTCGGACACACCCCAAACGCGCGCCCCTTTAACACGGGCGTACGTTTCTCACCAAAAAGTGAGAATGAGTTCAGGCCTACCCAGCGGTATTTGGTGGAAGCCTCAACAGCGAACGCCGAAATAGTATGGTATTGCTACGCCCCCCAAACGGACCTACCCACCAAGCTAGCCATCCGAGGCATCCCGGCGGACACCGACCCCCTGGCCATCACGGAGGCACTGGAGGAAAGGGGCTTCCCCGTAACCTTCGTGAGAAGCATCCGAGGGAAGAGAGGCCGCCTCATATACCATGCCCAATTTAATAAAAATATTCATTTTATTCTATTTTTAGTATTTGTTGTTATAGCGGCAACAAAAATACATCATCTGTGGAAATCTCAGCTGTAGATTACGCGGTTCATGAGATACAGTCTGGTAACAGACAGACAGATAGACGGAAAGTGGAGTTACTAAGAAGTAATAGGGTCCAGTTTTTACACTTTGGGTAGGGAACCCTAAAAATGATTGAGCGATGCAAAGGCTAGTTCAGACGTTATGGTCATGAACAGGTGCTGCCAGAGGAGATGAGTCTGGTCTTGATACAGTACATTAGGTACTATTTATCGTACTATTTAAATTAAGGAGCTTGATAGCGCAGGTGGTTAGCGCGTTCGGCTGCGATCGTTGAAGTTAAGCAACTGTCGCAGTGGTCGGTCAATGGATGGGTGACCAAAAATTTACTATCTCGAGCTCCTCCGTGCTTGGGAAGGCACGTTAAGCCGTTGGTTCCGGCTGCGTCTGCAGTCGTTAGCACTCACCAATGCGCACTGGGCCCGCGTGGTGGGTCATGACCCAATCTCCCTATTCCATCCATAGGGAAGGCCTGTGCCCCAGCAGTGGGGACATTAATAGGCTGATGATGATGATGATTAAAATTAAATCGTACATTTTCTTTTACGTCTAAACTGTAAGACAGCATATTTAAACAATGTGTTAAATGCTTATTTTATAAAATTTAATTGTCATACATACCTAATTATAAACGACTCTGTACATACCTAATTGAGGACCTCCGTGGCCGAGTGGTTTGTACTCCAGGTCCCTAGATGTCGCCTCCTCGAGAGGTCCCGTGTTCGTATCCTGCTTACTGTGCTTACTTTGGGGCTAGGTTAAAGGCTAAAAACAATACAGGAATAAAAAACAGCCGTTGTTGAATTTCCTGCTGGTTCTTCTCAGTACAAAATCTCCTGTCGTAGGTTTGCGAACCGATGGCGTAGCTTTTCGACATTCACAAATGCCTGTGACAGCTGAACAAACGATATTGAATTTCGACTTCAAGTGATCTAAACATGATTTCGCAACTCATACAGTCATTGGTAAACAAGAAATCTTGAAATCCGCAGGTGCAATCATCTTCGGATCCGACCAAGAGGTGGCCGGCGTGATGCGGGCAGTGGAGCGCGGCAACGCCACCAGCCTCTTCAGCTGGGTCGGCTCCGACGGCTGGAGTGCCCGCTCCCTGGTCTCCGACGGCAACGAGCGCGCCGTCGAAGGCACCATCAGCGTCCAGCCTCAAGCTAACGACGTGCGAGGATTCACCGACTACTTCTTAAACCTCAACGTCAAGAACAATAAGAGAAACCCTTGGTTTGTTGGTAAGATCTTTAATTCTTTCCTCTCAAAACCTGAACTACTTTCGTGCGAAAATAACTTATTACTTCTAGAATTTAAGTTCAAGATTAAGTACGTTCAATACCAAGCTATAACATTAATATATAATAACAACAACTAAATGATAATGCTAGATTCTGACCCACCATTTACAGTAATATTAAATTTATGAAAAAATATATACGACAGACAGATCGATCTAAGTAAAAATAGTGACACCCTGTCACATAACTCTTTCGATTTAAAGCTATAATCGATTTTATGCTATAACATTGTTTAATCGATTATAAGTATCGAAATTATTTTAGTTATCAAAAATACTGGTGTTTAATAAATTATTACAAAATCTCATTAGATTTATTATTTTACCTAGTACAAATATTTGTGTGATGAGCACGAGTATTTGTTCTGTGTCTGGGCGTGATTTATATTTAATATGTATATAAATACAACAAAAAAGCAGTATATTTTTTATATGTTTGTTTATTCTTATACTAATACTCTGTACAATTAGATTTATTGATTATAATTAAAAGGTGTATATAAAACTATATCTTTGACTTTTTACGTTTAAATATTTTTTAGTGTTGGCAACACCATGTTGTGGTGGTGTATGGCGCCATTTTGAAGGCACTTGTTCACTGATCTTGCGATAGTTGCAAGTGTTGCAACGTAATTCTTCTTTTTTAATTTTTTTTATCAAACGTTAAGTTTAGTAGTCTGTCGGGTATTATCAACCTTTTGAAGTGACGTTTTATTGTAAAATTATTTTGTCTTTTTTTACTCTCTGTCAATAAAAATCGTTTGGCAAATTGTCCCAAGTATTTTTCTCTCGTGAAATATTTAATTATTTTCACACGTCATATAGTGTTCATTTGTTACTTTGTATTGAGCGTGTTGAATCATTCGTTGAACGAACAAAGAAAATTATACTGTCTGACTGGGATCGAGATATTGCCTTTGACAATATACAACTAAATGAACTCATCATTGATAATGAGGACACATTTGACGATGAGTCCAGTTTGTATGAAGAATCTGGTACGTCTGAATAAATTAAAAATAAACTAAGAAGACATAAATGTGTTTAAAATATTAACATTATATAAAGTTCATTACATAAATATAATGAACTTTATATAATGTTAATATTTTAATTACTTGGTTTCTACCTGACAATTTGGTTGTACCCATTTATTTCTACCGATTATTGGTAATCTGTGGCACAATCTTAGTAATCATTATGTGTGGCACATCACTTAGTGGGCGGTACCTGTGTTTGAAGTACAATATTATTTGTATGACATTTTAACATAAACAATACAATTTAATGGGTGTCGATCTGTCAAAAAGATAATAATAGTTATGATTTTATTTTTATTTTTTTAAGCATTTAACTGCTAGATGTTTAAATCTAAAGAAAAGTTTACTAGAAAAAAATCCACGCGGACCAGGCAGCGGACGGGACTCGAACCCGCATCCTTCGCTATCCGGGCGAATGCACTGACCATTATGCTACCACGGCCCTATTATAAGATAATAATAGAATGGACAGACAATCATTTGTCGTTATTAACAAAATGGAGTCAAAATAACCTTCAACATAAAGATATAGCAAACGTAACATTAGATTAGGCAATAGACCTTTATGTTTACAAAGTTAAAATAAAGTCCCTTAAACGCGAGAAGTAATAAATTAGAAGAATGCCCTTATCTTAAGCGGATCACATAAAGGTTCCTCGAAATGTTCTCTTCCAAAACCATCGCGCATAAAGGTTACAAACTTGGAATAGCAATAATTTTTCAAGCCAACTCTTTGTATAAGCCCAGGAACGTGTAAATTCTTATCTTTGGCTTGCACCATTAGTTCTCCTAAATATAACCATTTGTTGATGTTATTAAAATTCCTTTCTGGCACAAGTTTCACGCTAAATCTTATCAGACTTAAATACAAAACAGGAAGGAATGGGAGAATCTGAATTCTTGAAGATATTAGAAAATAATATTGTAATACAACTTCCTACAATAAGGATTTTAATAGAAATGTGTTTGACTGGATTATTTTAAAAATCTACTTTTAATATAGGTTCTATTTATTTTTATTCGAGATTTTAACGAACCATTGTAACAACACACGCTTACACGCCATGACAACCTGTTCTGATTATTTGACTTCCTTAAATTACTCTAGTTTTCTATAATGACAGCAATGATATTAAATACTCTAGATACACCACGTGCGCTCAAAATGTGTCCCAATCAAGAAGTGCTTGAACACTACTCAAGCACTTCTCGGTTTACAGTCACGCGCGGACCGTCGAAATGTCAAGATGCCGCACAGCTCCGTGAAAAAATGCGAAAAAAATACGTATAGTACATAAATTGTCGTTTTTCCGACAGATATCTAATCACTGTTTGTTAATTTCATGCATTTGAAGCAAATTTTGTTGTAATACTTACTATAAACTGATTTAATAGAAAATATTTGTGATATTCAAATGCATGGTCGGTTATATTGCCGCCTCTTTTCCTCGCGGTCCGTACCTGCTATATTGCTAACAGCGCATTCAGAATTGCAATAATCTTTCCTATATGTAACCTTTTACATGTATTGATTGATTTCCCTCGATGTACCACTTAGAGACAAAGAAATAATGTCTATATTCTTCTAAATTTTACGAGCTTGCATTTCGAACTGTCATAACTGTTTGGGTGCGTTTTAATTAAAACTTTATACAGTACGAATTAAAGGTGACTTTCAATGTTTAAATAATGCCTTGATTTGAGTACGCGATTATCTTACGGAGCACCGCGGATCGTCCAATGTACCTTTGGACAGGTTTTGGATAGGATTTTGTTGGTGTGGTTGTATCCAGGGTATTTAACAGCGTTGAATGTCAGTATGAGGGGAATTATTTCATGATCGCGACCATAATTTAGTTTTAAAAGTTAAAAGAAAACCATTCTAATATAATTTGACAGAATTAAAAATATTATTTAAAATGGATATTGACAGCTATTTTTATACCAATAACGTTTAGGATCGGTGAAGACTAAAATGACGTCACAGATATGTAAACTTTCGGTCAAAGTGACATTATTTGAGTTGTGTTTAAACGGTTAATTAAATGTCAGCCATGTGATGACACATTTCAGTAAAACTCCTTATTGCGGTGAGTAAAGTTCTCAGGGCTCCACGGGGTAGGAGATCGGGTCAGGGTAAGCATCGGCGCGAGTGACATTTTTTGTATCGCAGTTTCGAGCTCTGTGACGTCACACGTTTCGGCCGCCGGCGCCGGTGGCTATCATAAAATTAGTTATAACTCAAATAAGACCACACGCCCCGATCGGGGCGAGCTCGAAAAATACATCGCACGATCAATTAGAGCCTACTTTTGTATGAAGAAGTTTAACCATAGATTAACTTGGCGAAATGACCTATCTCTAGAGCCATAAAGTTTTAAATAGCTCGCAAATACTGCTTATGCGGACCCCAAGCAGATAAAATCGCTACCAATGAACCGATTTCGATTATTTACAAAGTATATTAATTAAAAAGCTTATTAGATCATTATTACCTAGTAATGATTCTCATTGAAAGTAGGATTTTTAAATTTAATTTTATATGTGTGACACAGTAGAATAATAAATAACCACTTTAATGGAGTCTGTATACACGAGTAAACACCGTAAGACTATTTCCAAAAATTTGTCAATATCCTATTATTCATTGGTTCACAACGTATAAATTTCATAATAAATAAAAGATTTGCTCTGTTATTTAGCAATCCATATATAATTTGAACACTTTAACAATATTAAACAGAAATTACACAAATAATAGATGTAATTACAATCTCATCGATCTTGCAGGCTCGTACATTTCATTAGCGGAACAGTAATTTCTATTTCTCTGTTATATCAGGTTACCTACTTAAGCTGTATATTTGGAATATACTATGCCGGTATATCATCAAACAGACAATAATATTAATGAGATATATGTTAATAATATTATTAACTTAGATTTCGGGCCCCATGCGTAAGCAGATTGAGTTAAATCGCAAATTGAGGTAAGCTGATGTAACCCATACTACAGCCACGTTCGCTATTTTCGCAATTAAATTACAAGTACACATAAAGTTAGGTGATAATACTTAATAAATTACATTTGGACAAAGGACATGGTAAAGTTTTGTATGAGCGACTGCCCTGACAATGTATAAATACTGTACTTATTAATATATAATGGTAAATGGCTGAATATTTATAATTTCTATGAAAAAAGGCTCAGGAACTTTTGATAAAGTCACAATCTTGAAAATTAGGAGAACTACTACTATGTCATTACCTTACTACAGTTGATAAGAGATGTTGCCAATTATTTACAGAGTCATCAATTTCGCATTTTCATTTAGAATCTTTCTTCCCATTTTTCTGATTAACTCTTCACAAAAAGTTTTTTTAAAGCATAAATAAATACAAATAATATAATATCCTCGGCCTGACAGTAAATCTGTGAAGTTTAATTTTGTCCATTTGCAAAATTAAAGGATTAATTATCATACAGACTTGTCTCAAGCCTGATCAGAATAATAAATTATTTTAGGCCTTCCGTGTTTTGATAAAATAAAAATCAGGTCCAAATATGTCATAGTTTGAAGGAGTTAAGAAATGATATTGTTTATTTCGATATACTTACACAAATATTTTTTGTGTACATTTATTGTTCTTCTATTTTGTAAAACGGAACATTTTGCTTTTTAAACAGACATGAAGTCAATTTTTATACTTTTAAATATTTGATTATTTCACGAAAGTTGTATGAGAATAATAAACACGTAATAATTAATAAAAAAATTAAACATATTATTTATGTCAAAATTATGATACACAAAGGGAATGGAAAAAACATCAACATAATTTTTATTATGGCTGAATTGAATTGTTTTATCAAAGTTGCGTGACATGCGCTATACAAGGTGTGGTGGATTAATATAATATCATAGCTTTGTTTGAGAAATATACTGCATTAAAGCTGTATTTTTTGTGGATATTATAAACAACGATACATATAAATCAAAGGATAACCTTTTAGCTTGCTTTAAATGTAGGCGGGAAACATACGTAATCAATATCTAAGAAACTAGTAAAAATATTAATAGTAGGGGTTCATTTTAGTTAATATTATTTTACAAGATATTCTAGTTTTCTTATTTAAATTGCATAAAGTTGTAACAATGAACCTAAAACTAAAAACCTTAAAAATATAATATAAATATTTTATAATAACGGGCTAGTGCGAAATATTTATACACGTTAAGGGCAATATCTTAGCCATGTCCTTTAAATTGTAAACGTGATGTTTAACATTTAAACGAATTTGTTCGTTTAATTTAATCGGGATTCATTGCCATCGATCATAGAGCAACACGGTCGACGCGGCCAGGCCAAGGATACATACAGTGCTTACTTACTGCTGTGGCGCAACGATCCGAAGTGGATCTTGGCCTTCGACACAAGATGACGCCATGCTCTGCGATCCCGGGCTAGGTCTCGCCAGCCGTCGGCACCCAAAGACTGCAAGTCCCTATGCACTTCGTCGCTCCAGCGGTATCTGGGACGTCCAACGGGCCGTCGTCCTATCGGTTGCCCCAAATACGCCCTTTTCACGGCTCGATCCTCTCCCATTCTCTCTACATGCCCGAGCCAGCGGAGTCTAGCTGCTTTAATTTCTCCTATGATGTTGGGCTCGGACACTAGATACATACAGTACCTCGATATAATTAATTTTCTATTGTATCATCAAGGGAGCAGCCAAGGATAAAGAGGCAAATAGGAAGGATACATTCACGAGCAGTTTTAGCAATCAATCTTCAGAACAAAATGGGCCAGTGTTTAGTTGCCTATATATGTTCGTTAATTGGTTCACAAAAATGTTGATATAATAAGAAACTTTACCAAAATAATCATAATTTTTATTTTTTTAAGCATGTAACTGATTGATGTTTAAATCTAAATAAAATATAGCTAGAAAAAAATCCACCTGCCTGAAAAATTGAAATTGCCTGGTCCGCGTGGAATTTTTTCTAGTTATATTTTCTTTAGATTTACCAAAATAAGTTTAACCAAAGGTGTTAAAATAAGTCTAAAAGCTAATCAAGTTTAGGCCTCATTCATTTAACACCGTGCATTCCAAATGGATAGGGACACCAATACCCTCAACACTTGAGGATTATTTTGGAATTTGATGAACCCTGTCAATGTAAAATACTGATGTCACTAATAGGGTATTTGACACTATTAAAAATAACGTGTCAATTGTTAGCACCTGTATTTAGAATGAATATTGGCACGAGTTTTTACTATTTTTACAGAAAAAATATTCATAATTTTACTAAAAACCCACGATAAAGATAATATTTTTCTTGTCTATTGTTACGTGACCCAAAACGCTTGGGATTGGTGGAGCCTAAAATGACGTCACACGCAAGTAAACTTCCGGTTAAAGTGACATTAGATTGTATAGTTTGACGTTATAATGACAGTCGTGTGACGTCACACACCAGTGAGACGCCATATTGTCCAGAGATACGTTTTCGCGGCAACTTGAAAAAAGAGTTTTTGATTTAGTTTTTTTACCGAAATACACAATATTATGATGAATATCCACTTTTTATGGACTCCCTAAACATTAGTAAATACCGTGAGATCGTTTTCTAAAACTTGTCAAATACCTTATTATTCTGTATCGACTTTGTACAATTGGCAAAGATGGAATAATGTGTTGACATGATTAAACCTTAATTCTAATCAAGAATGTCGTTTTCAAGTGGCTCTGAATCTTTCACTATAAAGAATCATTAAAACTGACACTAGTATTTGAGGCCAAACATATTAGAATTTACAGAAGAATTAATTTTCCATTAATGCTCCCATTTGGTCATTTAGGACCAAATGGGAGCATGTAATCTGAGTTTGTGCAATTCCAGCAAATGAGCATACCTTCTGGCAGCGTAATAACCGTTCTATGCATTATTAGAGAGGATTAAATTTTGCGTCTAATGAGTATATAAAACTTCAAATTTGGCTCAGTAGTACGACGAAAATCCGGTAAAAAAAGTTAAAAAAAACCGGGACAATAGAGATGATGACTATTTTTTTCTTGGTTTATCAGGTAGATTATCAAAAAGTATTGGACACGTATTTTTTCTTTTCTCACATAATATAAACATTGCAGAGATATATTGATTTGAAAAGTCGCATGACGTCACGTTTTGATACAATTTGTCACTTAAAAGTGACGCCACGAGCCCCTACTCCCAAACTTTGACGCGCTATAACTTTCTGTCATTTTTGGTTGATTGCCCAAAGAAAAAATACGTTCCATTATTTTTTGATCATCTAACTGACGGACTAAAGAGAATTTCGTTTACTGTACCCCGTCATCACCCCTATTTCTCATTCAATTGCATACTTATATTTTGCGACTTTCCATACCACATAACGAAACAGATTACTCCTGTTGAAAACCCCATAGAGTATAAGTTGTAGATAATAAAATTGCATACTTTGTATACACCTTAATTTTGAAATCCAGTCCTTTTAAGCTTTTAATTTGGCATCAATTCAATATCGGTTTTACAACATTCAAATAAACAAAAAGCTTAAAATTGCTGCTGAACCAAAAAGTTTATTTTTAGACTAAATGGCAAATATTTTGTATCAGACAAACATAAAATAACGTCTTTTCTGATTTTCTTTGAAATGGAAACCCTCACACCTCATATTTATGGAAAATATGTAATTTAAAGGGTCTGAAAAAACCAGATTCAAAAGTGATGCCCAATTTATTCTTTAAAAATACTTTTTTTGAAAATTAAGGTGTCTTTATAACGTGCTACTTTTTCATCAATTCATTTATCCATCAATTTAAGATAGTCGTAAAATATAAGTTTGCATCAAATGAAAATTCCCAGTTTCTTACTTGTGATTTGTGCTGTACCGCTGAAACGAATCGGAAGTTTTAAAAACGCATTAGGTACAAAATTTATTAATCAATACTATTGAATAGAATAACATTTTCCGTACGAAGAACTGCAAAAAATCCAAACTTAAGCGATTCTTTGGCTGCCAAAAGTACCTGCTGGGACTGCGCAAACTCGGATTAGATAAATAAAATATTACCAACACTCACACTAATTAGCCTAGCCCAAAATAAGCACTATAAGGCTTTTGTTATGGGTATACTAGGGTAACGGATAGAATACATATACTGTACATGTATAAGTATATTTTTATAAAAATACAGATTAAATGACAAATGGTGGTATTCGTCACACAAACATCTGCCCCCACCGGGAATTGAACCCGGGTTGTCGCCTCTTAAGTCGGCGACACCATGAAACCAGGCACCACAAAACAAACCACTTGGTCACGGAGATCATTGAATATATATTTAAGACCAAATGAAGGTAATAAATCAATTTTCGACGCTTCAAAACAGTTTTTTTTTCATAGAAACAAGAGCGATGAGTTGCCTACCAATACTTAATAGGGATGATGACTATTTTTTTTGCTTCGTTTATCAGGTAGATTATCAAAAATATTGGACATGTATTTTTTCTTTTTTCACATAATATAAACATTGCAGAGATATATTGATTTTCAAAAGTCGCATGACGTCACGTTTGAGTACACTTACAAGAGAAAATTCACTCAAAAGTGACGTCACGAGCCCCTACTCCCAAACTTTGACGCGCTATAACTTTGTCATTTTTTGGTTGATTGCCCAAAGAAAAAAATACGTGTCCATTATTTTTTGATTATCTAACTGACGGACTAAATAGAATTCCCCCCCCCCCCCTCGTCATCACCCCTATTATAGAACATTGCGGTAGCATAATTGGTAGTGCATCCGCCCTGACAGTCGAGGGTGCAGGTTCAAGTCACGTCTGCTGCCCCGACCGCGTGAATTTATTTCTAGTTAACATTGTCTTCAGAATCTCATAATGTTCTGTTCTTCAGAGTTCTGGGAGGCGCACTTCCAGTGCCGCTACCCCGGCAGCCCGCGCACCCCCTACAACGGTCACTTCGAGCGCGCCTGCTCCGGCTACGAGCGTCTCTCTATCGACAACACCGAGTTCGAGAGGCAGCTGCAGTTCGTCTCCGACGCCGTCATGGCCTTCGCTTACTCTATACGGTAGGAAATACTTTTATTCTGATAGGAACACCAATACCCTCAACACTTGAGGATTTTTTTGGAATTTAAATAACACTGAACCCTGTCAATGTAAAATACTGATGTTACTAATAGGGTATTTGACAATATTAAAAATAAAGTGTCAATTGTTAGCATCTGTATTTAGAATTAATATTGGCAGGAGTTTTTGCTATTTTTACAGGAAAAATATTCATAATTTTACTAAAACCCCACGATAAAGATAATATTTTTCTTGTCTATTGTCACGTGACCCAAAACGCTTGGGACAGGTGGAGCCTAAAATGACGTCACACGCAAGTAAACTTCCGGTTAAAGTGACATTAGATTGTATGGTTTGACGTTATAATGGCAGTCGTGTGACGTCACACACCAGTGAGACGCCATATTGTCCAGAGATACGTTTTCGCGGCAACTTGAAAAAAGAGTTTTTGATTTAGTTTTTTTACCGAAATACACAATATAATGATGAATATCCTTTTTATGGATTCCCTAAACATTAGTAAATACCGTGAGATCGTTTTCTAAAACTTGTATACGGTAGGAAATACTTTTATTCTGTAGTAGTAGTCGGCAGAATAACATAAGAGGAGAAAGAGGGGAGGTGTACAATCCTTATTTAAAAGACTGAAAATTTAGTAGCAACCAAAATTATGGCCGTTTCTTGATTATTTTTGCTGCCCTTTATGCTCGGCGATACAAAGAGGGAGCGATACTTCACAAGATACAGAGTTACCCAATAAATAATTCAATTAAGGTACAGATATTGCAATCCACACGAGCTGCGCCCCATCAATCTTTGGTTAAAGGATAATTAGTGATAAAAAGATAATTAGATAATTTATTTGTTTCTTAGGTGCCCAACCCAAATCCCAACCCCGAGCACACACTGCGAGACCAACAGATACTATTAGTTCTTTTTGTTTACATACTTTAACATAAGAAGGAGATAGAAAGCCTCTCTTGAGTTTGTTTCGCCGGTTCTTCTCAGAAAGGTCTCCCAATTTTGGAACCGGTGGTAGTTTAAGGTAGTTAGGGTCAAATAAATAAACTCAAAATTACAAAAAAGAATTTTAAATAAAGTACTTTATTAACTAAATTAAGTAATAAATTCATACAGAGACAGTAAAACTTTAAAATTCGAACAATGAAATAACCGAACGCTCAATAAAAGTCTTTCGAAGGTAGCTCGACAAAATTAAATCATATTATTATTTATTATTATCATACGTAATTAGTGTGTACCGATAACACTCAAATATTGGCGGAAGCTGGCACACGTTTACTATAAACGGTTAGGAGGAATAGCGGGGCCCGTCTTCGTGGATTACAATATCTGTACCTTAATTGAATTATTTATTGATGCTATCCAATTATTTGTTTTCTTATTAACAATGGGATAACATACTTAAAGCTATGTCTATTAAAAGTTCAAAGTCATCAGTCTATACTTTGGAAAAATAAGTCGTAAGTTACAAAAGTAAATAGCAATAAATTCACATAAATGAAAATTATAATTTAGAACCTTTACCGATAATTTGATGCGTTTTTCTCTTAAATGCGAAGTATCCAAAACAAATCAATTGTGAAAACCGTGAAACACATCCAACTCAAAACGTTACCGATGAAAGCCGGATGAGTTAAACGGGAATTAATTATTTATCTCAATTCTAAGGAAATGAAAATTAAATTTTGCAATTATAAAATTTTTGGCTGAGCCTTTAATCACCAACCATAATTTATTAATCACACCGACCCGGGTTCAGAGGCTCGGGGGATAAATAAAACCCCCTTATTATGTCCGAAGCATGCACGTCATTCTGATTGCCATCTCTTTTACTCCTAATCGTGGGAGCGGTGACAGGAAGAGACAACGATATACCAAGGGTTCCCATGCAATAAATTCCATAACTTCTGGTCCTTTGTAATAGATTCGGTTAATGAACATGTGCCAGTACAAACTGTTCTTAAGTACTAATCTTTCAAAACAATTGGGCACACAAAAACATCATTAAGCACTTTACTAGTATGATGTGATTCATTCTTATTACATTAAACATAATATAAAACTCAAAGGTGACTGATTGGCATAGTGATCTATCAACGCAAAGCCCAAACCATTGGACGGATTGGGCTGAAATCTGGCATGCAGGTAGATGTTATGACGTAGGCATCCGTTAAGAAAGGATTTTGATCAATTCTACCCCCAAGGGGATAAAATAGGGAATGAAAGTTTGTATGAAACTTTGTCAATTTTAAACCGATCGGGCTGAGACTTTGCATGCAGGTATAAGAAGAATCATAGATGAATGTCATTGTGTATAATACAAGCCTGAGAATAAAAACTGTAGTCTACACTTCAGCTCTACACCGAAGCGAAGCGAGGGCAGGCTGCTAGTTAAACATAAAGTAATTTCAATATGATCCGGTGATGGTCATTATTCTAATAATTAAGCTCAGATACTTTAACATCGAAGATTTATCTTACCATTTTCATTAGAATATTTTTGCGAGCATGTAAATTAGGTTTTGAGTGACTTTGAAAACTGCTAAATTAGGATATTCAAGCTTTACTGGTTGAAATTCTTTTGAATAGTGACTGATGATGTTCTTTCACATTCACCATTTTTCAAGTAAAATGAAAATCTAATTTATGTTGTTAAAAGACCCTGCAATAAACTCATCCATCAACGGTGTACTAAAGCTTTTTAGACGGACTTCCCATTCAGACTGTCTCAGAAGAAGGTCATATGTTAAATATTCTAAGCCTATTTAAAATAATTAGCCTGCCAAGTTATTTCGCGTAAGACTAGTTGAATTGAATGCCTTTTTATGTGGAGTTTTGCGGCGCTGAAAGCGTGTGCTCCCTGCATGCTGAGAGGTTCTTTAGAGCACCACATAAAGTGAATTACATCTTTCTAACGCTGGCAGGCGAGAAACTAAATATTTCGCTCTTCACACTCGAACGGCATACAGAGAAATCGGGTTTACTCGACATTTTATAAGCAGACTGAAATTTATTTTAAAATGTTTCCCAGTTCATTTTTAAGTGCTTTATAGGAAGGATTTTTATAATGGCAACACTACACTGTATTGCCAGTAATCACGTTTCGTTGTAACTTTGTACCTAAGCATAAAAGGATATTGGAGAAAGAATTTCCCAATGACAATATCGTACAGCTCTAATACTCATTCATTCACTTTCTATATTATATCGTGATAGTCATGGTCGTCCATCGTACGTATTTTTTAATGCCTTGGATACAATTCATCAAAATGATGTTGATTTTAGAAGTATGTCAGTTGATACCTGAATAAGCACATCCACATAAGAACCAAAATCAGATTTTTGCCATAACAAGAATTCTCATAAATAAAGAAAGCTATTTCAGAAAATATGTATATTCTGTAACAGTAATGTCAAAGTGCTCATCAGTTTGGTATAGAATGTTTTATTAATTGATGGTAAATTAAACCCATATTTACTTTATAAACTTTGCTGTTATACAAGCATATTGTGACGACATCGTCACTACAGCACAAACAAAAATAACATAGAAAATCCAATGACAAGGGTTCCCTCTATTAGGCAGAATCTTATTGCTCCGAAATTTATTTGGCATATAGCGAATTCACAATCGCATATTTTTATCACAGAATTAAAAAAAAACAATATAGGTGTTGGATCTAGCAGGATTCTCTAAACTTAAAACTAAATTTAACATCAGTCTGTCCTTTTAATTCTGTATACAGAATGACAAAGATGCACTGTTGTCAAATTTAAGTTTAGCTTTAGAGAATCATGCCAGAATTGACATCATTGTTTATTCAGTCTACGCTGTTACAAGCGCTTGTGAATGTCGAAAAGCTACGCCGTTTTCAATAAGTGCTCAATACTTTTTGTAATGTCCCGTATTGATAATCTGTAACTGTCACCACACAAAAACGTAAGGTTAGTATAACTATCCACATTATGGTGGGTCAAGTTATTTACAATGTCATTAAATGATTTTCCAGGAGTACATATATTAATTATGTTTTCATCACTGTAATTTTTAATTAATAGACCTAGCCCCTGACCTAAGTTGTCCGAGAATACAATTGTTTTACTTTTATACACGTTTGAGTTTTAATAAGCATAATTAATTACCCTTGGCAAGAATTTTACTCTTCATAATTTCACTAAGCATAATCGTTGTTGGTGGTCAGTGGATTAGATTACGTTAGTGACCTGAACTTAGCCAGCCACCTGATAAAATACATAAATAATACAAGGTAAAGTTAAATATTTCCATGCCAAAAGACGGTTCTGTCTGTGAACTTTCTGCAATATGATGTTGATGGTTTGGAATTTTAATTATTATGAATATTAAATTTATACATAAAATAATTCTGGCTTACAAAATTATGCTTTGATTGTCTGCTAACTGAGTGAATGCCAAATGATGTTCTGCGAAATGAAGTTTATGCCATTCGCTGATATGTATAGTACATATATGACATTAAAAGTTCTTCGATACAAGATAGACTCCCAATAACAATCCTTAACTAAATGTGACTACAACTTTTTCTTTTAGTTCGAAGAATAAATATACTTAATTTATGTTCTGTAGATAGATCAGAGTGGCTTTTAACGAGACGGCTCACCGGCTGATCCCGTCGAAGTTATAATTGATCTCTTAGGATGGGAATCTTATTGGAGTTCGTCGATTCTTGCAATCGGTCCAGATAATCGATTTAGCGAAGAGTTATTCTCCTGGACCGTTTTTCTTTATGTTGAATTATAAATATGAAAAATCCTTTTTCGCCAACTGTAACAGTTTTTTCTCATTGATACATTTGAAAAGTTGTTTTTTTGTTTCATTTTTGTGGCAAGCACGGTTTGTGCATACAGCCAATGTCTAGTTAAAAATTAAGGAAACGGTATAGGAAAAAAATAAATATAACGAAATTTATAAAAAGATCAGAATTGTAACAATAAT